CCCGCCCCGCCCCGCCCCGCGTCGCTCAGCCCGGCGCCCCGGGCGGTCGGCGCTTCCGGGAGGGCGCGGTGACCCTTCCCAAGCGGTGATCGCTAGCCCCGGGAGTTGGGGCCTGGGGTCCGGCCCAAGCGCGGTGCCCAGGCGTATCCTCCCCGCGCGGCTCCCGCCAGACTAATCCTCCCAGCCCAGCGCCTCTCCCGAGCTCCCTGCAGCCTCCATCCGAGCCCTGGCCGCGCCTCCCGGCTCTTGTCCCTCGCGGGAGGGCGCGGTGACCCTTCCCAAGCGGTGATCGCTAGCCCCGGGAGTTGGGGCCTGGGGTCCGGCCCAAGCGCGGTGCCCAGGCGTATCCTCCCCGCGCGGCTCCCGCCAGACTAATCCTCCCAGCCCAGCGCCTCTCCCGAGCTCCCTGCAGCCTCCATCCGAGCCCTGGCCGCGCCTCCCGGCTCTTGTCCCTCGGACCCTCTACCCCGCCCGGCTCTCGCTTCTTCTCCATCCTTTGCTGCGGACTTTAGCCCACCAAGACCCACGGCCCACAATATCCACACTACCCGGCCCTTGTCCGCACTGGACAGGTTACCGGACCAGCTGGAGGAGGGGCCTGAGAGCTATGTGGCCTTTATGCACTCCGCCCCGTGATCCCCTAAATCTACCGCCAGCATTCCTTTTGGAGTTAGGGTCCCAAGGGACGGGTCTCCATTAAATCCTTTACTAAGAAAGGGATAAGTGTGTGTGGGCGGGGGGGGGTGAGCTTGCCCCTCCCCCATCCTGAAGGGGCAAATATTCCTCCCCCTTTCTCTAATCGGCTCAGGCTGGTCCCACTGACCTCCACCTCCCCCCACAGCTGAGTCTCTTGGCACCTGGGTGTGTGTGGGTGGGGAGGGGAATCCAATCTCTCTTTCCCTCCATCTGGCCTGGTGGACAAAGGGCAGGGGGACCATCTGGTCCCGCCAGGGTGGGGGAGGAGCCCACAGTGACAGTCCCAGGGGAAAGGGGGAGGGGCGGCGCTCCAGAGACAGCAAAAGCCTGTGGGGTCTAATTGCATCACTTTATTTCACGGACTTCCAGTCTGTCTCCCCACCCCACCCTCAAGCCTCATAGCAGGAAACAAACTGGGCCGAGAAGACCCAGGCTTGGCAACCTGGGGAGGTTGTAGCCCCCAGAAGGAAGGGGAAAAGAAAAGCAGGGCGATCTGAAAGGCAGAGGGGTGCACCTCCCCTTCTGAGGAAGCAATTTCAGGCTGGGACCAGTTGCAACCTGTGGGTGAATGGAATCGAGGGCTGGCCTGCATCCTAATCCTAGTAAGCCAGTGCCCTAAAGGCTGGCCCATGAGGAGGTTCCCAGTTCCCGTGAAGGGGAAAGGCTGCACCGTTGGAAGTGCACATATACCTGCGCAAGCACACTACACAGAGCTGCGCATGAATGTGCATGCCAGTCCAAGTCACGTGGACCTGTGTGCTGGTCTCCCAAGGGAAGGGTCCTGTTTGGAGCATGATGGCTCTAAACATGCATGTGGTCATGTATGTGTCTGTGGCCTTAGAAGAGTAGAGAGGATGACTGGCCCGCAGGGCAGCTGAAGAAGGAAGCAGAGGGGAAGGCAAGGGGCCTGTAAGTGAAGCTCGTGGATTACCCAGCACCAGATTTCTCCCCTTGAATCCTTAGGGTTTTTCATCTTGATTTTACTTCTTCATTCTGTCACTACAAGAGAAAAGCAGAAAAGACAGACCCAAAAGACAAGAACCCAGATAGATGCATAGACAGACCTGTTGCATGTACATCAGGAGCTAGAAGCCAGGAAAGGGAGCAGGCAAACCCAGAGATGCCAATGCCGGCAGGTAGGCAGCACATCCCCATCAGCAGGACTGGGTCTCATGCTAGGCCCCCCAGGAAGTCCAGCAGCCCCGTATGCCACTCGTCAGGCTTGTCCAGGTAACAGGGGTGCCCTGCCCCCTTCATGACCAGCACTCTGTGGTTGGGCAGCTGCTTCAGGTGTTGAAAGCTGGTGGAACCCATGGGGTCCTGGTCTCCATATACAATCAGAGTTGGAGTCTGAGAGAGGAAAGAGGTGAAGAGTCAACCGGTCTGCCACACCAACCCCAGCCTTCTAGAAGTCAGCTCCAAGCCTCCAAAACTTGAGTCTTCCTGACCCACCCTGGCAGCAAGAGACAAGCTGGCCCCGTGGGTGAGGGAATGGATTTATATCTGACCCAATACATAGTTTAATATAGGACTTGGCATAGTAATCTAAGTAAATGGGAAGAAATTAGGTAGTCAGATTGTACCAAAAACCACCCCTTTATTACCCCAGCTCCCAGAAGAGGAAGGCCTAGGGATGAACCCTTCCTCGCTCCTGACAGGGCACCTCAGCTTCACACACACACACGCAGTACCTTCACATTGGCATAGTCAGCAGCATTGATTTTGTCTGTGCAGATGGGAGCCACTGGTACATAGCCCCGGATCTGGGAGCCAGAGGCAGTGAGGAAGGGCAAGGCATACATGCCACTTAATGATGGACTAATCACAACTGGGGGGCCCAGCTCCAAGGCATCCACCACTGCTGCTAGGAAGCTGCCAGGGGCCAGCTCCCCATTAGGGGTAGGAGCTGCTGCTTCCTTGGAGTGCCCAAGACCTGCAGAGATTCGAGTACAGAGGATAGGGCAGTGAGCAGGAAAGGCCTCTTCTTCCAGCAAGCCCTCCCAAGTCAGTCTTTCTGTGCCCAGGTTCCTGTAACACTAGATAGACTGAATTCATTCACATCTACAGCCTGATGTACATCTGTGGCAAGAATAAGATGTTTCCCTCCATGTTTGTGCCTATCTTCCGCAGTACAAATAGTGTCCTGAAAAGAATTGTCAATTTACATTCAATATGATCTTGGGTAAAGTCCTCTAGCTCTCCTCAGCTACCCATTTTCCCCCCTCTGTTTAAAAGGGATAAGGAGTGTACCTGCCATTAGGCTCCTAGCCCTGAATTTATGGTACCAGATGGGGTCCTGAAGGACAGTTCCTGGGGTGGGAGGTGCTTCTGCATTGGAACCTCCCCTGTCAGTCAACATTGGCAACATTAGCTCCAGACCTTCATCCCAAAGCTCAGCCCAACCCACTGTTGGAAGCAAGCTGGCCAGGTTGGAGATCTGCCCTTGAAGCCTGAAACCATATTAGCCCTGGCCTGTGAGGGGATTAGATCAGATCAGATAAACTAGGCCTCCTGTTCTACACTACACACCAAGAGGTGGGGCTTGATGGTCATCCAGGTTATGACAGGAAATCTAGGAGCCGTCCCCACCTCCTCCAGTGCCCAACTCAAGGACTCTGCCTACAGGTTGATGACTAGGGACCTAACCATCCATTAGACCCTACCATGCTCCCCAAGGCAGCAGGGAGACTCACTCTCAGGGCCTTCAACAGCCTGTGAATATGTCTCTGTCAACACAGTTTACTTCCAGTCAGTTGGACACCAATTACTATCCATCAGATACTAGCTAATATAGTCATAAAGATAATCTCATTCCATGCTCAATAGGGCCAACCTCCAATAAGACTGTAGTATTTCCCACTACAGATGAGGAAACTGAGGCCCCAGCAACAGCGAGGAGAGCTGAGCAGTGCTCCAACCCTTCTCCAGCAAGATTGGAAAAGCTCAAAGGTAAGATACACACGGTATGCACCTAACTCTGCCAAGCTCAGGGCCCAGCCTTGCTAAGTCCTTCCACTCCTTCAGCTTCAAGTCTTTCCCAGCCCCCCAACCCAGAAGCCTGTCCCAGAAGTACCTGGTAAGTCAATGGCCACAGCCCGATAACCAGCCTCGGCCAGCCTATGCAGAGTACCCAGGTTCTGCCAGGTCTCAGAGGAGAAGCGGATACCATGCAACAGCAGCACAGAGAAGCGAGCAGCCTGCCCACTGCCAGGCCATACCTCTCGGAAGAAAAGGCGCTGGCCCTGCACCTGGATGGTGCCCTCACGCTGATCCACACTGGCCATGCCTGCTGTTGCTATGCTGGTGATGTGCCTGCAGGTCAAAGCCAGGCTGATGAAGGGTGAAGGAACATCCTGTCCAGGGGCAGCAGGGAACAGCAAGGAGACCATCAGGACTCTTGGACCTGATTTAGGGTTAGTAAGAGCAGGTATTTCTGCCTCTGTCACTCAATTGTATGATATTGGGGCTAAAACATACTTAACTGAAACAGCATGGCCAGAATTAGAAGTTTCACTTAAGAGTTTAAGAAAAATAAATAAGGGGGCTGAAGAGATGACTCAGCGGTTAAGAGCACTGGCTACTCTTGCAGTAGACCGGGACTGGGTTCCCAGCACCCATAAGGCAGCCAGCAACTGTTGCTAAGTCTAGTTCTAGGGGATCCGAGGCCCTCTTCTGGCTTCTGTGGGCATTGCATGCATGTGGCGCACTTACGTGCAGGCAAAACACTTATTCGCATAAAAATAAGGTTTTTTTGTTTTTTCTTTTTTCTTTTTTCTTTTTACACAAAATAAGTGAAGGTGCCTGCTGGTGGTGAGAACAGAGGATGAGGCGCTCTCATTACGGTTATTGTTCCTAATGGAATTCTCCTTTTACGTAAATGAGAGTAATTCAATAGTACTAGTTCTTAGGCAGTGGAGAGGATTAAATGAAGCCATGCATGTGAGAAAGAAAACTTGAGTGCCTCACTATCTTGCTTATCCTCGACTAAACCAACGCTCTGGCACAGCCGGTGAATTGGCGCTACAGACAGGAATGAGTTTGTTTGGGAAAAAAGCCCATTTTCCAGAGGCAGAAACACATGCAACCAGCCGGCAAGGACTTCGGAGTTCTGACTGCCAGGGACGTGGGGTGCTCAGCGCGCTGGTGGCTGGAACCCAAATGATTGACGCTGCAGTTGCCGGCGCCGCCAAGGCTCGCTCGGTTCACTGGCGCACCCCAGTTCCGGATCCCTGGGTCTAAAGGAAGCACGTGAAGGAGGGACAGCCCAGAAAGGGCTGACCTGAAGAGCCAAGAAGGGAAGATGGGGTAGGTGGGTTCTGAGTGGACAGCCGGAGAGGATCGGGAGCGCAGGGTGGGTACCTGGAGAGGTGTGTGGTCCGACGCTGCAGACAGGCGAGTGCAGCGCGGGGTGGGAAGAGTAGGGAAGGGGCTGGGCCAGGGTAGGACGGGGGTGGGTCGGGGGCGGGCCGAGGGGGGGGACAGGCCCAGGGGCCGGGTGATGCTCAGGGTGCCCTCTTGTGGTCACAACTGCCGCTGGGCTTCTCCGCACCACCGCTACAACCTTCGATTCTTTTCATACCCGCCTCAGTTTCCCCAAGCCCACCCCCACCTATGTGTGCCCCAAGTGCTGGGTTGGGAGAGATCTGAAACCCTCTAGAGCCCTTCCCCCGACGTGAACTCCGCGTGTCCTGAGTCCTGGTCCCTTCCTGCGCTCCTGCCCCCCATCGCCCTTCACCCCCAATCAGAACTGACTGTCCAGGACGAGCTGTGCACCTGGCATGGAGCTGACCCCCTACGTGTTTAAATGCAAGACTCCACCAAAGTTCAGCCAGGTGGCCTGGCTGGTTTTCCCAACCTAGGAATCTGTTTCCGAACCTGTAGAATGAGTCTGGTTAATGCCAGTCTTGGCAGGGTACCAATAAATAGAGAAGCCTTTGTACCCTTTATGGCCGTTTTGCCCCGGGGCTGCTCGCCACGCAGAGGCCTGAGGCTGGGTGGGGGCGGGTAGGTGAGGAAAGTGCTTGGGCAGAGACTGAAGCTGCTGCATGACAATAGTACCTGGCATTTACACTAGCAGACCTCTGTGCCAGCCATTTAAGTCCGCTGTCATCCGTACATGCTACGGTATGCCTTTTCCTAAACCCCACTGTGCAGACAAAATTGTGCAAAAAGCGAAGAACCGGATGGCTCTCCACCGGGTCTTAGGCCGAGAACAATATTGGAAAATCTGGGTAGGGAGGAGCAGGCCTGGGTGCTTTGGGGCGCCTGCCCCAAGTCCTGGGTAACCCAGACGGCCTGTAGCTGCGGACTGCGCAGGCGCGCCTCCGGGGCGGCGCTTTGGCCTGCTGCTAACCAAGCAGAAAGGGGTGGAGTGGCCGGGGCAGTGCCATCGCCACTGTTTGGCTGTGAGTTCCGCTCGGGCGGGGTTCGCCCCACGCTAGCGCGCCTGGCTGGAGCCTGCCTGGTCATCCGTGCCAGCCCGGTGAGTGTCTCCGGCGGAAGGAGGCCCGCAGGTTGCCCCGGGACTGGCCATGCTTGTCCCCGCCGCTTGGGGCAGAGTCCTGCGGAAGGCGCGAGCCCTGGGTAACACGTGTGCATGTTCCTGTGCTGTGTGCGCGCGAGTGTCCGCGTGTGTTCTTGGGGGTCAGGGTCCACTTAGGTGCCCATATGGCATGCGTCAGATTGTGTTTCTGTTTGCTTATTTGGGGGTGTTCATTGGTCTGTCTGCTTGCTTCTATGCCTCCTTTCTGTATTTCTCCCAGGCTGACATTTTGTGGGAGTGCGTTTCTGAAGGTTTATGCTTGTGCGTTTCTTCCCCCGCCCACAGAGCCTCTCTTGCTAGGCAGGTGCTCTCTCTATCCCTAGGCTTAAAAAAAAATTTTATATATCTATATCTATATATATATAAACTTTTTTTTCATTTATTCATTTAGTTATATGGGGGGTCGTGCCACAATTGGTTGGAGTGGGGTCCTCTCAGGTCGGTCGCGCTTGGCAGCAAGTGTCTTTATGTACTGAGCCATCCCATTGGCCCCCTTATCCATTTATTTATTTTATTTTATTATTTTTTGTTTTTGTTTTTATCTTTTTGAGACAGGGTCTCCCTGTAACCCCAGCTGTCCGTTTGGGGTTTTTTGTTTTGGTTTGGTTTTGGTTTTTTGTTTGTTTTGAGACAGGGTCTCCCTGTAGTCCCAGCTGGCCTGGAACTCACTGTGTAAATCAGGCTGGTCTCGAACTCATAGAGATCACCAGCCTCTGCCTTCTAAGTGCTAGGATTAAAGGCCTGCCCCACCACGCCTTGCAAGTTTGGGGATTTTTTTTTTTAAACAGAGGCCTGCTATGTAGCCCTAGCTCACCTCAGAGTTGCAGCAGTCCCCTTCCTGCCTCTTCCTCCTAAGTGCTATTCTACCAGGCCCAGCACTGTGCATTTATGTGAGTGTGTGGTTTAAGGGTTTGGGGTATGATTTTGTGCTTGAATAACTCTGAGTATCTGCATTTTTTGTTGTTGTTTGGTTTGGGTGTTTGTTTGTTTTGATACCAGGTCTCGCCTAGCTGCCCAGCCAATCTCAACTCATGATCCCCATGTTTTAGTCTCCCTAGTGATAGGATTATGGTCTTGTGCCTCCACCCCTTCACTGACTTATATGTGATTTGGAAACCATATATGTCCATCTCTCTGCCTTCCTGACATCTGACCTTGTGTGTGATTTGGGAGTATTGCTTTTTTTAAAATATTTTATTTATTTTTATATTGTGTATATGAGTATATTGCCTGCATGTGTATAAGTACACCCATGTCATGCAATGCCTGCGGAGATCAGAAGAGGGTGTTGGATTCCCCTGGAACTGGAGTTACAGACAATTATCAGCTGCCATGTGGGTGCTAGGAATTGAACCTGGATCCTCTGAAAGAGCAACCAATGCTCTTAATTGCTAAGCCATCTCTCCAACCCCGATTTTGGGGGTATTATAAGACATTGTGCACAGGTCAATGTTTGTGTGAGGAGGCTGCTGTACATTTGGGGAGTAACTTTTTGAAAAGTGTGTGGAAGCAAGACTCCATGTCTGTGTGTGTCATGGTCGACAGATATTCCAGTAACCTAAGAGCAATTTACAACTCATCCTCCACCTGTAGAGCAATCCACTGCGGAACCCTTACAGTTGTCTAGCCCTGGGTACCCTGGAGGAATTGCAGGTTCAGTCCCTGGCAGGCTAGGAGAGGCCCATCACTGGGATGTTCCACCTTGTGAGAACCTGGGGCTAAAGCTGTGTTGCAGGCACATTCTAGGTGGCTCATGGTTAGGACCAAGAGAGAAATGTGCTCTTTATCCACCTGGCTCCTGGTTTTCCATCAGCACTGAAGGAGCTGCCACTGCCACCTACGGCCTGGCTTCAGAACCTGAGAGTGACACTCTGAAAGCAGTCCACTAACATGGCCCAAGTCAGGTCCTAGCTCATAGCCCTAGCCTATACTCAGTTTGCTCCCAATAAAAAAGAATCCAGAATCCCAGAACAAGGCAAGCATGTTCATCTTAGGCCCAATAAATGATGACATGGACATCTCATCCTCACCCCCTTAGGTCCAGTGCATTATATACATCTCACAATAAGCTTGACAAGGCAGCCAGGAATTTATCCCATGTTCCTGACAAACTGAGTTCTCATAGTCAGAAAGTAATAGAGCTGAGTCTCAAAGCCGAGACCATCTGCCCCATTTGGGTCATGTCCTCTGGGCTAACAAAGATCCAGTACTGGGGAGTCCATGACACAAATTATTTGGCAGAAGCAGGGGGTAGAGCAAGGAGTGGGGGGCAATCATCTCTCTGACCTTCCATGGTGCCTTTTCTATTTTGAGGCCAACTACACTCTTCTCAGCCCTCACTGGCTCAGGCCTTAGCATTTCCTCCATCCCCAGCATTCCCTGTGAACTAGCCCATAACAGCTGGTATGACCATGAAAAATTCCCTCCTGCACAACACATTCTGATTTTAGTAGTATATTCAGTGTGAGGAAAAGAACCACTTCCAGGCCTGCCCTCAGTGGAAGTCTCTTCGCAGACTTTCATCTCTAACAACCTTCACTTTGCCATGTGCCATCAGGGCTACAGTTCATCCATCTCTTGGCTAGTGCCATGGTTTCTTCCAAAACATAACGTGACCTGGTATTTGGGTCCCAGTTCTCCACTGCTGCTTAGGCAGAGAATTTGCCTCTGAGCATGAATTTCCTCACATTAGAGAGCTATAATCACACCTGCTCCCCAGTGTTTTCTTGCAGCCTGTGAGTGCTTGATGTAGAAGGCCAAGCACAGAGGCTACTGTCACAAGCATGGTAAACAATGATGGTGGTGGTCACTGAACATGCTGGGTGCCAGAGGGATATCTCATGTACTTCCTCACACAGTGGGGTGTCTGGGCCCTCACCTTGGCCTGGGGAGTAGTTGGGGATGAACATCCAGGCCTTCATCCAGAGTAAGAGAAGGGACAAGGGCTAGAGCGCTTTCCCAGCAAGGGCTGTCTCTTCCTTCCTTTTCTCCAGGCAGTGGCACAGACCTTCATGAGCCGGTACCAGGTAGCCCTTCTCTGCCTAGGCCTGCTGCTCATGCTACTGTTGTATTTGGGGCTGCCAGGCCCACCTGAACAGACCTCCTGGCTCTGGAGAGGCCCCAGTGTCACAGTCCTGGCCGGTCTCACTCGAGGCAACTCCCCCATCTTTTACCGTGAGGTGCTGCCACTCCACCAGACACACAGGTGGGTGATGACCCAAGGGCCTAATGGAGGAACCCCAGTCCAGCTCAGGGGGCCCAGAGCCTGGGAGGGCAGTGGAAGAAGTCTAAGAGGATGGTAGCTGCCCAGCCCCCAATGTCATACATTTCCCTGTGTCTACAGGGTGGAGGTAGTGCTGCTCCATGGAAAGGCATTTAACTCCCACATGTGGGAGCAGCTGGGCACACTGCAGCTGCTGTCAAAGAGAGGCTACCGGGCTGTGGCCATTGATCTGCCAGGTGAGTACCCCATCCTGTAGCAGGCTGCAGCTGATATGAAGGAGCAGCTCCCCAGAAGGAAAGAATTGGAGGAGTAGAGAGGCCTTAAGGTATAGCGGGGGTATGTGGGCCCCAGCCTCTGGAGAAGCCTGTGACAGGTCACAAAAAAGCACCACAATAGTCTTTTCTGATTTTCTACCTTGAAAACTACAATGTAAAAAAAAAAAAAAAAAAAAAAATTATTTTTTTGGTCTTTTTGAGACAGGGTCTCCCAGTCAGTAGCCTCAGCTGGCCCAGTACTCCCTATGTAGACCAGGCTGGCCTTGAATTCACAAAGATCCGCCTGCCTCTGCCTCCCGAGTGCTGGGATTAAAGGCATGTACCACCAGGCCTGGCTGTGTGTCACATTTCTATTTATTCTGTGACATAAAATAATTTACATTGCTAAACTGGGCATGATGGTGCACACCTTTTATCCCAGCACTTGGAAGGCAGAGGCAGGCAGATCTCTGTGAGTTCAAGGCTGGCCTGGTGTACATAGAGAGCTCCAGGCCAGCTGGGAGACCCTGTCTCAAAAAAGACCAAAAAGAAAAAAAGAAAAAAGAAACATGGCATACTCATGAGCAACTGTTGTACTTTTTGCGACAACATAATTTTGTGAGGTTTTTCTTTTTTTAATTGTGTTTATTTTTATGTTTATGAGTGTTTTGCTTACATGTACATAGGTGCATCACAGGCATGCAATGCTCAAGGAGGCCAGGAGAGGGCATCAGATCCCTTGGAACTAGAGTTATGAATGGTTTTCAGTCACAACTTAGATGCTGGGAACCAAATTCCAGTGCTCCACAGAAGCAGCTACTGTTCTTAACCTCTGAGCTATCTCCCCCATTCTTTTTCTGAGACAGGGTCTCACTATTTAGCCCTGGCTGGCCTGGAATCCACTATGTAGACCAGGCTGGCATTGAATTCAGAGTTCCACTTGCTTCTGCCTCCCAAATGCTAGGACTACAAGCATCTGCCACTATACCTGGCTAGGTTTTTGTTGTGGTTGTAGTTTGTTTTGGATTGATTTGTTTGTTTGTTTGTTTGTTTGTTTTAAGATAGGGTCTCCCTGTAGCCCCAGCTGGCCTAGAACATGCTGGTCTCAATCTCACAGAGAAATGCCTGCCTCTGCTTCCTGAATGTTGTGATTAAAGGTGTGTACCAATGCCTGGCTAATTTGGGGGGGGGGGGTTTACTGTACAAATAGAATGTGCTATCATTTGGGTTTGTCTGTTTGTTGGTTGTTTTTTTTCTTTCCAATACTGGGGATTGAACCGAAGGCCTCAGGAATGCTAGGCAAACACTCACCCACTGAGCTACACCCCTAGCCCTGTGCTATCATTCTTGTAGTTAAAAAAAAAAAAAAGAAAGAAAGAAAAAAGTGAAGTCCTTAGAAACCAGTGACCCATCTGTCTCCCTCTCTGACCAGCTGAGAGTGCCAGTCCCACCTTGAGCATTTCATGCGTAGAGATCCCAACAGCTGGGCCTGGCATGCAGACCTGTAATCCCAGCTACTGGAAGGCTGAGGCATGAGGATCTCAGCAAGTCCTGTCTTCGCTACAGAATGCATTCAAGGGAAGCCTGGCAACTTAGTAGAAACCTTGTCTCAAAAGGAAAAAGTAAAAAAGGGCTGGGAATACAACTACATGGTAGAGCCCTTGCCTAGCATATGCAAGGCCCTGGGTTCAGTCCCCCAGTACTTCCAAAGAGGGAGGGAGGGGGAAAAGAGAGAGAGAGAGAGAGAGAGAGAGAGAGAGAGAGAGAGAGATGGGTGAAATGGCTCAGCAGTTAAAGGTGCTTGCCACCAAGCCTGACATCCTGAGTTTGACCCCTGGGACCTGCATGGTAGAAGGAGAGAACCAACGCCACAAGTTGTCTTTTGACCTCCAGATGCATACACACACACACACACACACACACACACACACACACACACATTAGAGGTGGGGAGATACAGACACTATGCAGGTTGGGAGGTTCAGGGGGAGTCCTGCCTGCTTAGTCTATTTGTACTTGAATTTTCCTGGCAAGCTTCTTTGACTGTAGAGGCTATGATGTCTCTAGGGTAGCTATCACAGACAACTGATGGGTTGGAAGATACACATTTTCAAATTTTGATGGATACTATCTCATCTTCCAGAAAGGCTGTATGGATTTATCTTTCCATCAGTATAAGAAAGTGCCCATTTCCCACGTGTGGCAGTCAGAGGACAGCTTGTGGAATTCAGTTCTCTCCTTTCAGCATGTGGGCTCCAGGGATCAAACTCTAGTTGTCCAGGCTTATGCAACAGGTGCCTTTGCCCACTGAGCCATCTCACCAGCCAGAAAGATGTCTTTCTTTTTTCTTTTCTTTCTTTCTTTCTTTTTTTTGAGACAGGGTTTCACTATATACCACTGGTCTGGAGCTTACTATGTAGACAAGAACTAGCCTTGAACTCACAGTGATCCACCTGACTCTGCCTTACACATGCAGAGAATAAAGGCATCCCCCATCACACCCAGCGGTGAAAAGATATTTTTCTTTTCTTTTTTCTTGGTCTTTTTAAGACAGGGTCTCCCTGTAACCCTAGGTGGCCTGGATTTGCAATGGAGACCAGGCTGGCCTCAAACTCACAGAGATCCACCTGCCTCTGCTTCCCGAGTGCTGGGACTAAAGGCGTGCGCCACCATGCCCAGCTGTTTTTCTTTTTTAAAAAATATTTTGTTATTTTTATTTTATGTGTATGAGTATTTTGCCTGCATGTGTGTAAGTGCACCTGTGTCATGCAGTGCTTGTAGAGGTCAGAAGAGAGCATTGGATCTCCTGGAGCTGGAGTTATAGACAGTTGTTAGCCACCATATGGGTGCTGGGAATCAAACCTGGGTCTTCTATAAGAGCAGCTAGTGCTTTTAACCACTGAGCCATCTCTCCAGCCCAGAAAGATATTTTTCTTTTTTTTTTTAACTTTTTAAAAAAATATTGGTTCACACCTTTAATCCCAGCACTCGGGAGGCAGAAGCAGGCAGATCTCTGTGAGTTCAAGGCCAGCCTGGTCTACATAGTGAGTTCCTGGACAGCTGGGGCTGCAGGGAGACCCTGTCTCAAAAAGACAAAAAAAAATTTTTTTTTTAATTTTATGTGTATGCTTATATTGCCTGCAAGTAGGTCTTGCAGTGCCCACAGAGGACAGAAGAGGCTATCAGATCCCCTAGAACTGGAGTTATGGACAGTTGTTAGCTGTCATGTGGGTGCTGGGATTCAAACACCAGTCTTCTGTAAGAACAGTCAGTGTTCTTAACCACTGAGCCATCTCTCCAGCCCCCATATTTTTCTAACATGCCTATTATATTATAAAAAATTGGCGGCTGGAGCGATGGCTCAGCAGTTAAGAGCATTGGCTGCTCTTCCAGAGCACCCGGGTTTCACTCCCAGCACCTACATGGCAGCTAACAACCATCTAGTTCCAAGGGCTCCCAGGAAATCCGATGCCCTCTTCTGGTCTCCATGGGCGTTGCACAACATGGGTACACTTGCATATATGTAGGCAAAACGCTCATACACATAAAATAACTGCTTCTGGGAATTGCTGGGGTAGAATGTACTTTGTGCGACTGTCCTCATCTCTTCCCTACTGTGATGGGCAGGAAGTTCTGAGCACTTCCTTGCCCCTCTCAGGTAGCACCTGCTGCTGTTCCCAGGTTTTGGAAATTCAGCACCTTCGAAGGAGGCAAGTACAGAGGCAGGGCGGGCAGAGCTGCTAGAGTTGGTGTTGCAGAACCTAGAGGTGCAGAATGCTGTGTTGGTGAGCCCCTCTCTTAGTGGCCGCTATGCCCTGCCCTTCTTAATGCGAAGCCACCACCAACTACATGGATTTGTGCCCATCGCACCCACTTCCACCCAGAACTACACCCAGGAACAATTCTGGGCTGTGAAGGTACTTAGAGAAGATCTCCAAAGATCCTGGCACCCTGTCCTTGTCTTGTCATGTGGGGGTGGTGTCTGAAATCTTGGAGGGTTTGGCTCCTGTCTTATTGGGGAGAAACAGAGTATGGGGAGAAGTCTCCCTAAGGAAATAGCTCGTGGGTCAGATCCTCACCAGGCCCCAGGATCAACAGCCTCTATCCTTGCTCTGCAGACCCCAACTCTTATCCTGTATGGAGAACTGGACCACATCCTGGCCCGAGAGTCTCTGCGGCAGCTCCGCCACCTGCCCAACCACTCTGTGGTGAAGCTACACAACGCAGGCCATGCCTGCTACCTCCACAAGCCACAAGACTTCCACCTGGCCCTCCTTGCCTTTCTTGACCATTTGTCTTGAACTAATTCACTTCCCAGGCCTGATCCTGAAGGGTCTAGAACCCTTACTCAGCTCCTCCAGGGAGGCGGTCCCTGGCTTGGATTGGAGGGCAAGAGGGTCAGGTCCAGCCAGGCCTTCTCATTTCATTTCACAGACACAATAAAGAAAAGCCTATTTGAGTTGCTTGGATAGTGACATTGTATTTCTTGACATGCTTGGGGAAAGCTGGGAGTGGGAGGTGAGTCTGGGGCTGCTTTGGAACTAAGAGCATGGAGAAAGTGTTCCTGGGATGCCTGGGAGTTTCACTATCTGCCCTCACACCTCTGTGTGTCAGTTTCCTCATCTATAAAATGGGCATGATGGTAATATCTAACTAGGAGAATGCTTGTGGCATTGAATGTGGGTAAGTGAAGTATTTCACATGAGGATAGGGGGACATGGGGATGAGTGTTACTGTGCTACAGTTCCACTGGGATTCGAAGGAAACGCAGATAACATGCCAGCTGAGCTGAGTTAGAGATGCAGTGTGGAGATGGAGATGGGATGATGTAGCTTAAAAATTAAAACAGTCTGGTTGAACCACCAAGCCTTTTTGGGTGTGTGGCCAGAGACTTCAATCCCAAGGAGGATGGGATGTACCCCCCTCCTTTACCCTCTCTCCCTGCCTCCTTGGCCCCAAGGTTGAAGTCTTCTACCCCCCCCCTCCTCCGAAGGCTGGCTCAGTCTTTGGAGCAGAGGGCAGAATTAACAGAGAGTGCAAAGAGCAGCCAAGGACGCAAGTGGGCAGCTACAGTTATTATGTGCAGTTGGTCGCCTGGGGGACCCTGCCTCAATGTCTCCTCTCTCCATTGGAGGCGGAAGAGCTTAGAGTTCTGTATAGGGACGGCCAAGAGCGTGCTGTTTCTCTGTCTCTCATACTGACAGGCTGCATGGGTCTCATCACCCTGACATCCAATCACCTCCACCCTCTCAGACTCATATTGTCTCACATATGCCCCGCCCACTGTTACACAGATTTGGGCACACTGTAACATGCTCAGAGTCACAAGCGCTCCCATTCCGGCATTTATCTTTCATTTCAGGCATGTTGTCAGACGCCCACTGTGTGCCTGACCAGGGGTCAGAACCTTCCAGGCACGTGGTTCAGTGTCTGGAACTCACAGTCTAGATGAGGGCAGACGTAAACAAAAGTCCTCGCTACTCGGGGAGTAGGGCAGTCTGGGAGGGTATCCTTGAAGAGTCGGGGCAAGAAAAGGGGAGGGCTGAAATCACCGTCCAGTACCCACAGCAGGGGAGAACCCAGTGTTGCCGCCGGGTCTTTTAGCGCCTGGGTCCGCCCTCTTTCCTCGCCCTATCCGGAGGCTGGAGGAGAAGGAGGATCCTCTGGGGGCGGGACCATCCTTAGCTGGGGATCCAGGCTCCTGGGTAGGCTGTGGGGCGGAGCTGGCCGCTCCGGAGGACAGCCCGGAGGGTGGATCCCGGATCCGAGCTTCTTGTTACCGGGTGCAGGCCCCACGAAGGGCCAGACGGGGACAGCCGCGCCGACTAGGCGGCGGGAACTGGGCCGGCCCTGACAGTGCTCGGTGTCCGCCCCTCCGCCCGGCCCTGGCCACGTGGTGGGCGGACCCGGCGGTTTTGAGCGCCTGGGCGGACCCTGAGTCCAGGCCACAGTTCCAAGCCGGCTCCGAAGGCCAGCGCAGGCCGCAGACCTGGAGAGAGAAAGGTTGGGAATCTTAGGGAGGGATTGGGGGATCTGGGGCTCCCTAGCGTAAAAGCCAGGCATTTGGGAGAAATATTTTTAAGGGAGATATGGGGAGTCAATGTCCGATTCAAACCAGGTTCGCCCACTTTCTTGGCTGCCTGTGAACCTCTCTGAGCCTCAGGCTTCTCTTCTGTAAAGTGGCCATTGAGAGGCACAAACTTGCTGGCACTCTGGGGATTAAATGAAGAAATGTGTTGAAAGTGGCCAGTAGTACCATGCCTGACAGAATAGGGCATCAAAAGTGGGAACGGTACTGGGGAAGGCCAGAGCACAGGTAGGAGTCCACTGGGCCCCACCTGCGGAAGGCGAAGGGGGTGGTAATGAGCCATTCACTTTGCCCCAGCTCATCAAGCGCTGCGCCATGACCAGCAAGGGTACTGAGTCCGAGCACCCCTCCGTGACACTCTTTCGCCAGTACCTGCGCATCTGCACTGTCCAGCCCAAACCTGACTATGGTGAGAATGTGGGTTCCCAGGGTCTGTGATGGGACCTCAGGAGATGGGGGGAGGGGGCGTGTTCCACACCACTTCAACTCCTGCCACCCAGTGGAACCCGGCTCTGTGGTTCCTGCTTCCTTCCTCTCCTGTAGCCCTCTGCTAGGATAGCCAACCAGGCAACTTCTCCCTGCACCACCCTTTCCCTAGACCGTTGCTTCAGATGGTTACACCTGGCAGCTAGTTAAGGAACAGACTGAGACTGCCACCCACAAGGAGACATTCCCCACCCCACCCCCAGTCTGCCAAGGTGTACAAAGGCCACAGCCCTTAGGGAATCCGGTTTGGAGGCTAAGACCAGTGTATGGGTCCAAATCCCTATAAGAGTTACCAGCTGAGAGATCTTAGGTGAATCACTTCCTATCTCAACCTCTCTGTCTTTAAGAAAGATAACACCCAGCTTCCAACCTTCCAACTCTGGACTTTCCCCTGACCTCCCACTGAGGGTCATTGACTGGTCAAGGATATCTTGTTCCTTGGGGACACAGATGCAGGTGCCTCTGGGGATATGGAATTGTGTTGCGGGGGGCAGTAGCCCATCTCAGGGCTGACTGGGCTGGTGGACTCCAGGTTAGGCAGAAGCAGCCCCAAACTCTCTGTGTCCCCAGGGGCTGCCATTGCTTTCCTTGAGGAGAGAGCCCTTCTTATGGGCCTGAGCTGTCAGAACGTAGAGGTGAGCCCGGGACCCTAAGCAGGGAGGAGCAGTGGACTGGGGCACATTGTCACCTGGTGCCAACCGCCTCCCTTCCCAACCCTCTCCAGGTGGCACCTGGCTATGTGGTCACTGTGCTAACCTGGCCAGGCACCAACTCTGCACTCCCCTCCATCTTGCTCAACTCCCACACGGATGTGGTACCTGTCTTCAAGGTACGTGTGGAGGGGCATGTGCAGGCCTGGAGAACAGATAACCTCAGGAACCCATGGTGCTGATTCCAGCACTAGTTCTTGACATCTATGTGGCATGGCGCAACACAAGCAGCCTTTGGGTTCTGTGCCAGGGAGGGGACAGAGGCAGAGACAAATGGAAGCTAGCTGCCTCCTTCAACCTTCTTCTGACCCTCTCATCACCCCAATTCTATGGCGGGCCCCCTCTTCTTATCCCTGCCCCCAGGAACAGTGGAGTCATGACCCCTTTGAAGCCTTCAAGGATCCTGAGGGCTACATCTATGCCAGGGGAACCCAGGATATGAAGAGTGTCAGCATCCAGTGAGTGTCTTTCATTCTAGTCCCCCAAGGTGGCCCTGCTGGCCTTCTGGACTGAACAATAACACAGGGATGTGATTGGAAAACCTCAAGTCCAAGAATCATCTTGACTTTTTTTTTTTTTTTTTTTTTTTTTTTTTTTTTTTTGAAAAAAAAAAAAAAAAAAAAAAAAAAGAGGACGATAAATCTTTCACTGTGATATATCAAAATAA